AAAGCCTACCCTCTTGAATAAATGGAAATAAATATTGCAGGCTTATAAATGACGCCAGCGCCTAACATGGTTTCTTTCAAATACTCCAGATATTTGTGATTAGTTTGCTAGTTTCCAAATGTCATCTTACTCTTGTGTTCCATGAGATAGAAAGTGTACGATGTCATATTTAATATTTGTGATTTGATACGTTTACGTACGATATACTGTGTACCAAGTGCCATGCGATGTATAACGTAAATAGGGGATATGTTCTATGTTTGATGTTAATGTACGATATGCTGTGTACTATGTGATATGTAACGTGCGAGGGAATATGTGCTATGTGTGATGTGATATGATAACGTACGATATGTTGTGTAGCATGCGATATGTAACGTGCGAGGGAATATGTGTTATGTGTCATGTGATAAGTTAACGTACGACATGTTGTGTAGCATGTGATATGTAACGTGCGAGGGAATATGTGCTATGTGTGATGTGATATGTTAACGTATGATATGTTGTGTAGCATGTGATATGTAACGTGCGAGGGAATATGTGCTATGTGTGATGTGATAAGTTAACGTACGATATGTTGTGTAGCATGCGATATGTAACCTATGAGGGAATATGTGCTATGTGTGATGTGATATGTTAACGTACTATATGTTGTGTAGCATGTGATATGTAACGTGCGAGAGAATACGTGCTATGTGTGATGTGATATGCTAACGTACGATATGCCGTGTACCACGAGTCATGTGATATGTAACGTACGAGGGAATACGTGCTGTGTGCAATGTCATATGTTAACTTACGATTTGATGTGTACCATGTGTGATGTGATATGAAACGTGCAAGAGAATATGTGCTATGTGCAAGGCCATATGTTAACACGTACGATATGATGACAAGACAAGACAAGATTTTTATGAGGTCAAAGACCAATACAATATAAATATACTGAATATTCGCCTGTGCACATGGCGAGGTACGTATATAGAGAGCAATCATATTGTTATTAACATTATTGCCCAAGAATGATGATATGTGTGAACGATTTACAAAAATTCAAGTTTGTGTCTTTCATTTAAGATATAATAAATACACTTTGCAGCTTTCAATACTTCAAAACTGTTTTTACATTTTAACAATTTGATAAACTTAAACATACTTATATTTTCCAATAAAGTATTACTAAAATGCTGTTTACGTATTTCTCGATATTTTGGACAAATCAAGAGTACGTGGTACTCATCTTCTATTTCGTAAGTACAAAAGGGACATAATCTATCAGCAAGAGGGATTTTAGTCACACTCCATCTTCCTTTGTCAATCATAAGCATATGTGAACTAAATTGGAAACGTGTAAACGCAATTCGGTACTTCTTAACATCAATATTAGTTAAATATTTCTCGATGCACAGAGTTATCTTAATATGAAGATACAATCTAGTTTCACTCAGAGTTGATAATTGATGTTTCCACATTTGTGAATAAATATCCTTAGCCCTTTGTGTAAATTCTCTCACAAAATCACAACTTTCACAACATATTGGGCAACCCAAATATAACCAAAACCAAACCTGAAGAGCGTATCTCTCAATAAACTTGCCCAATTTTCAACATCAGGGTTCTCATTTGAACTATTCAAAACTATATATCTATCTGGTTTACTTCTCAAAATCTTAAGCCAATATTTGATCATTCTGAAAAAAGGGCATGTACCCAATTCTCCATATAAGAACGTTGATGGAGTTGACATTTTGACATAATATATGTTTCATAAATTTCAAGTGTACACTTTCAATAGCATTAGCTTCCATAAAGCCCCAAACTTTGCAAACCATATGAGAGAATAGGAGAAACAACTGATTGGAATAACTGATACTGAATATCTGGAGTATTGTACACATTATCATTGAATATATTGTACAATGAACCAAGTGCCTTCAATCCTTGTTCTGATAGGATTTTCTGAGCTTGTGAAAAACTGCCACCTGTTGAAAATACTAAACCCAGATATTTATAACTATTGATTACCTCAAGGGTGAACCATTATAGGACCACTTTTCAGCCTTGCCTTGTCTACCTCCTTTACGAAAAAAAAACAACCTTCGTTTTTATGACGTGTACTATGTGTGATGTGATATTGAACGTACGAGGGAATAGTGCTATGTGTGATGTGATATGTAACGAACGGTGAATATGTACCATGTGTGATGTAATATGTTGTATGATGTAATCGTACAATGGGCTCTGATGTTAATCAATATTTCTTATCATTATGAAAAGGGTGTTACTGTATTCATTTAAAATCACATAAGCACTGTTTTCAACAGAAATACATGACGGCGCTTGACGATTAGATATAAAGAAAACAACAACAACAACAACCGTAACATTTCAGAAGGAATTAATATTTAATTACTTGATTGATACATACAACAATTAAATATACATGTAGGAACCGACCAGACAATATACCAACATGGTTTGTCAGAGGCCAAGATAAGCTGCGTATCCGGGTAAAATACGCATCGAAAATTTTCAATTACGCATTGAAAAATAATTGTTGCGTACCAATTTCGCATTTAAACTGTTAGATACGCAAAGAGTTTAAAACAAATGCGTACGGAATATACTTATAAAAATCGCTTGCGTAATGAAATAGACATCGATTGCTATCAATTTGTACTGTTAGTATAGGTCAAGTGTTGTACTGTCAGTATAGGATGAGTGATTTTTTATCAAATCATTTCCCTTATATTTAAGTTGGTTTTGAGTAGGTATGACATAAGGCAGAACATACCTGCTTAGTAAACTTACTCAATGACACAATACTTAGGTAGGTAAAATGACTGAAATACGCACATATTTCAAAGCAGTGGGTAACGGAAAATGAAATACCCACTCAACATTCATAATACCCACTCCAAAAAAATACAGTGGGTACAGTACCCACATTAGCTAAATCTTATCTGGAGCTCTGGTTTGTTACTTATTTACTAAGAATAAACTCTTGTGCCTGGGACGAAATGCACAGCCGTTAATCGAAACCTAATACCCTCTTATTCTATGTTCTCTGAGTTGACTCCCTTGTGCACTCCAGGAACCTATGATCGAGGTTTCGAATCTGGATTCGCCTCCATTTTATTTCTACGTGTTTCTTTGCCATACACGTTGTGATGCAAAAGGAATACTTGTAAAATCTCCCTCCCTCCCTCCCACCCCTCTCTCTGTGTTGTTGGTTATCTACGGACTCAGTATTATTCCAGTGATAACGACATATCGAATCATAACCAGAAAAACCCGTGATTGACGTTGTGACGAACGATCCAAAGCATCCCAAGTCGCCTCTTATGACAAGCTGGTAAATGGCCAGACGGTGGCCACATGAATACGTGCAAATACCTAGTTGCGGGTACAGCAACGTGCAGTAAACTTGGAAAAAGTACTGTGACTATGTGTCCCAGTCCACCAACGGTGAATGGGTACGGTAGCTCCTAAGGATGGGAAAACCACATTAACTCGGTGCGCGTAGTGGCTGCAAGAGTTGTATGATCCCCAGGGAGTTGAGATTGATAATACATTGTGCCGTTTGAGTTTGACATCCAATGATCGAGGGAAAATCAAAGCGCCTTTGAGCAGGTGAGCTGGATATTGGCGCTATACAAATGTTAGTATAAAAAGCACATACCTATTGTGACCAGGGATAGGCAAGTGGTTACCGTAAGAAGGCTTTGTGGCTGATATGGTTATAAAGAGACTTCAGGAGGGCCAGTGGTCTAAGCAGTCAGGATCCGCTAGTCGCGGATCATTGTTGTCATCACAATAATCATACGATTACGTCTGACTGATTTCGAACATGCTTTCCACATTCATTTAACAGGCCGTGATATAGATGCGATGACAATGGTGTGTGACATTGCTTTTAATATGTGTCATAATTCTCTAATAATACATACTTCAATTTCTTAACTCTATGCACAATACTGTTATGTTTGCGCTGCATGTTAATGCACTGTATACAAATAGGATGTTAGTGTGTTTGTTTGAAGCATGACACTCATACACGTGTTTTTAAAATGTAAACAACACACAGTAAGTAATCATCTTGCAGGTGCCCATAAAAACGTTTGATTGAACTTAAAAACAACTGAACTGATAAACAACTTTGTACATTAACAAGCAGTTGTGCATTGTGGCTTAGTATTCTAAAGTACCATCAAGGTACTTCGTACCACTGAACAAACACGATTCCATCGTCTACATCAGCATCCAGGGATGCAGCAAACGTCCACAAGTATAGTCATTGATGATGTCGTGTGAACAGTGATTATAAAACAGGTTGATTGGACTGAACTGAACTGAACTGAACTGAACTGAACTGAACTGAACTGAATCGAATCGAATCGAATCGAATCGAATCGAATTGAATTGAATTGAATCGAATCGACTTGAATTGAACTGAACAGAACTAAACTAAACTGAATCGAATTGAATTGAATTGAATTGAATCGAATTGAATTGAATTGAACTGGACAGAACTGAACTGAATCCAATGGAATCGAATCGACATGAACTGAACTGAATTGAATTGAATTGAATTGAATTGAATCGAATCCAATCCAATCCAATCCAATCAACTTGAACTGAATTGAATTGAATTGAATTGAATTGATACTTCGGTACATCCTAATATCTGGGCGTAAGTTTTCATGGGTATATACTGAATCGGAGAAAGGAATGTATGCACTTCAATCTTGGCTCTATTCATGAGTGTGCACTGTAAAATGCCTCCTTGTGTCCATCCAAAGGTCATGTGCACGTCATCCGTTGTAAGGTAGTCATTGAAGTAATGCATGTACTCATTCGTAAGATTCCTGCATCACATATACAGCGTCCAATAACTATTTCTTCTTTGTTTCAACATGGCTGTATACTTTCATTCGCCCGGCGGTTTAATTTTGAAAGAATAAATTTGAAATACGAAATGCGAGTTGATCGTGCCATCTTCAGATTAAACCGGCGTCTTTTGCCATTCCGTAGAATACAGACTTCCCATCCTTCAGAAGGTCCTCTGGTGAACCAGTCTCCTGTATTCTGCCAGAAGCCATCACTAATATCCTGCAACAATATGGTGTCCAGTAAATCATTAATGTTTGATCGTTAACCGCTCAACAACAATACATAACATATACAGTCAAATCCCGATGAGTCGAATGCCGGTGTCTCGAATATTATGCATAACTATGCATAGCTAATCAGACTGGAACTGATAAGGTGCCCTTATTAGTGATAGGGAAATCATTAGGTAAACAAATGCTTACGTGGAGGAATTAGGACTGGATCATCTTTTGTTCTACCCTCATAGACATACCTATGTCTCGAATACATCGATAAGTCGAATTTATTACTTGGTCCCCAGCGATTCGACTCATCAGGATTTGACTGTATATATAAAGTATACAGGTCATATAACAATGTGTTTCTCACTTTCGTTTGATTGTTGTTTAATCTCACGCTCAACTATAGCCTCTTTCACATGGACACAATTTACTTACATAAGCAATTTACTTACATGAGTATGTATACTCACATAAGTAAACGTAAATATACATCATGTTCACATGTTGTGTTTCGCCAGGTATAAGGAAACATTATCTCGTGATTAGAATAACTGAAGTTTCATCATTTGAGACAATGTCGTTGAATAAGCTGCTCATGCAAAAACGGAGGAGAGATTTCCCATACTTTGTCAGTTTGGCCCTGGGGTTGTGTCATGAGAGAGAAGTATGGAGTAGAGAACGATCTCGCCATTGGTCGTCTCAAGCCATGAAAATGTCCGTTGATGACACGCTTTGGATAGAGAACTTTCGCATGACTAGAGAGACATTTTATGTTCTTTGGGAAGCACTTTAGAAGTTGGGAAGTACAATTCTGACAAATGTATGGAGAACAACTTCTTATATTGTATGAGTGCGATGTTTGAGTACTGAGTTGGCTTACAAGTATCGTTTCATGTGGACGCTAAGACAAATTGATATAGTTTAATAAAATTAAATATACTATTTTAGGTGTTTACAAGAGCATCCAGTGATAATTCTTTCCCGTTGCCAATATGTCAGGGCCTCATGGAGATGCAAGTAGGAGTTCACCATGCTTGTCCTAAGTGGCGACTAACGGGAGGGTGGCCAGCTCACTTACCTGGCGCTCCTTTCACGAAGCAAACTTTACTAAGGTTAAGCCTTAACTTCCATTCTTTAACATTGCACTAAGGTGACCTTTGTGACTTACGATCACCCTTGTGCTTTGTGAAAGGAGGCCCTGGTCATGTCTGTCATTGTATCCCAATTTCCGGAGATCGATGTTCATGATGTCCATCGCTAGAGTTTCTGATCCACATTTTATTATTTACACCCCCGATCACACAGCAGAATGGGACGATGAACAACAAATGGCTTAAAATATCACTCAGTCCAACTTACTTGTCATAATCCATGACTGTGTTCAACCTGTGGGCTATTGTGATGACGGTGCATTCATCAAATGCATCTCTGATTGTCTTCTGAATCAAGGAATCTGTTTCCATGTCAACAGCTGCCGTGGCTTCATCGAGCACCAGTATTTTAGTGTGGCGCAATAAAGCACGGGCAAGACACACCAGCTGTCTTTGTCCAACACTGAAAGAACATCAATTTGGCAATTTGTCTTTAGCTTACCTTTGCAGTATTTTCTTTTTTCAAGGTAAAAATAAACACGTTTTTCAACAATAATAGTAATAGTAATAGTAATAGTCTGCTTATATGGCGCTCATATCCAGGTACATTACGTGCTCATGGCGCTACGTACATTACTATTCCCGGTCATAGGACACCATCGTACTAACCGATACTTTTTCAACTCCCTGAGGATCATGCAGCCCTGCTGCCTGTTAGGCGCAGTGAACTGATCACTCACATTGCCACATCCTCCCGGGTACCCATTTTACAGCTGGATGAACTGATACAATGTGGATCTAAGTATCTAGTCCAAGGATACTACGCAAATGTGCCCACCTCGGGACCGGAACCAAGGTGCCTCCACCCGGGAATCGAACCCGGGCATTCAGCGTGATATGCAGACGCTTAAGCCACTGCACTATTGCGCTCTAATAATAGCAGTTACCAAACCCTCTGGAGAGGGTAAAAAAATCCAAGTCAACATTCGTTTTACGTTCGTGGATGTTCCAGAGGCTAAATCAAATTGCCGTGTTGGCGCATACTTTGTCCAAGTTTTTTCTTAGTGTGTTTTTTTAAACATCCATTTGATAAATTACATGAATTTCATATGAGGTGTACATGAAACCGACTAGATATTTTTGTATTTATGTAAATATATCATGCATAAAAAATATTTCATTTAACAGACAAACTCGTTCTTCTTTTTGTTCAAATCAGTTAAAAATATCACAATTAGTCCACAGTTCACAAGTGATAAGACGCGTGTTTGACAAATTAAAGTTTACGGAGCACCGCGGGGGTAATATTTCTCTTTTGTTCATATATGTTTTTAGCGGTCTACAATGGGCAGGTTGTCCAGCAACTGATCGAATGTTTAATTAAAGACCGCTGTTAACCCACTGACAATAACAAGTCGGTTGTTTACGTGTGAATTAAAGGGGCACTGCCTTTAAACGAGTACGTTGATTTACTTCGTTAAACAAGTCGGGCGGTGAGGTAGTCTTGTGGTTAAAGCATAAGCTCTTCACGTTGAAGGGCCGGGTTCGATTCCCCACATGGATGCAATGTGTGAAGCCCATTTCTGGTGTCCCCGGCCGTGATATTGCTGGTCTTGTGCCAAGAGAGGCGTAAATCCAACTAACTCACCCATCACTACCTCCATAACTTGGGCTTTGTGCACACTTCCATACATCGACTGATTGGGTGTACATTATAGAGGCACAAGATACACACTCATACACCACTTATAATGTATAAAACTGTCGTCACTCTGGTACTGATCGTGTGTATATCAGAGAAGTACCCTCAACACACTCATACATCTATTCGTGTGTATTTAAAAGGAGTATTCTCATCTGAATGGTACATTAAATAGTGTATATATTAAAGGGACTGTCAACACACTTGTATTTCACTTACATTTAAGTCGCGTTCTGTGTGCATTAAAGGGCTTGCCTACAGACGTGTACTTCACTTACTGTGTGTGCATTTAAGAGACTGTCAACACATTTTTACTCCATTTACTGTGTTACTATTAAAGGGACTGTCTACACACCTGAGATTCTCCCCTCCTTCTCCACACTCGTACATCAGCTGGCCGGGTACCTCTACCACAAACCTCCTCAGATGCGCCCTGTCCAGAGACCGCCATATCTCGGTATCACTGAACTCGTTGAATGGGTCCAGGTTCATCCTCATGGTCCCGGAAAACAGAACAGGGTCCTGAGAATGAGGGAACGTATGAAACATGTTTCAGTGGAAACAGGACTATTTGAGCTCTCAATCAAGCTCTTAGATGCTTAATACAACGATGATTAAGTGCTGCTTCATCCTAAAGGCGCTGCTATTACATCTTTACTGAAGCAACGGCTCAAAATAATTACAGCATAACTTCATAGGCAAATGGCCATGCACATTTTTTTCTATCATTATATCTACCATGATTACATTTCCTGAAATCATTCCACGCACTGTTCACGCAATACAGTCTCATTAAAATCACATCAAGTCAATGCATTGATTACACAACAGTCTCGTTTCCTGCTGACTGGGTTTCATCTTATTACGCAACTTCGTACAATAACCAGTCCAGAATTTTGAGGCCAATTCATTCAACTGGATACATAAATATTAATCAGTATTACATGTATTTGATACATCTGAGCACTTGTATATTGCAACACTACGCTCCTTCTAATCCTTGCAAACACGTCGTGCATCGTGCTCTGTCGTACAGCGTGCTCTGACAAACGGAAATCTGGAAATCGTGGAAATCTCGAAACGAGGCTCTGCCGCTAGAAAGGTTAGGCGGTCTGGTACGGACTTGATATTATATCAACCACATTGTGCATTATCAAACCGCATTGAATAAGCGCAAAAAACACATAACAGGTGTAACCAGTGAGCCAAATGAATTGTGAATCATTTTACGACCTCATCAAACAGGGGCAGTCTGTGACGTCTTAGTTAAGGTCATGCGGCCTAAACCGCGACATAAAATATAGAAATACGATGTTATTAAAGTTTAAAATTAAAAAATACTTGTAAATACCATTTTCTTATGAAACAAGTAATTGGAATACAGTGTAACCATAGTTGTTTGTGGTATGTCTTTTCACTTTCAAACGAGATAATTCGGATCGGCTGAAAAGAAGGTCATTGTCTGAATAGGTTAATGAGACTCATGTTTCGGTTTGTTAGGTAAAGGGGTGAGTGTGGGGTCTGATTTATTTATGTCAGCGTCTGTATTATGAGAAACATATCGTTTTGGTGTATATTCGTACTGCTTCATCAGCTGATGAAGGAGGTAGAATACGCTCTGAAACGTCTTGCTCCTGCTTCATCACCTTCATCTTTAAAATAATTGCTAACTACCTGGTAATGGGTAACAATCGTACAATAATCCCCACATCTCTGACGTCATTCCTATTATCGGTATTCCCCACAACGGATCTACATCGTGGTTGTTATAAACAGTTAATTAAGTCACCTGGGGAAGAATCGTCAGTCGGGATCTGACGTCATACAACCCGATCTCAGCAATGTTGATCCCGTCTATCACAATGGAGCCTCCAGCGGCTTCAAGGATCCTAAACAGAGCCAAGGTGAAGGACGACTTGCCGGCACCAGTTCTACCCACAATTCCCACCTGAAAACATAATATGACACAGAGGTTACATGCCCTACATGTTCATTCCTGGTACAGTACAGCATTACAGTTTATCGTGTTGGGCCTGCCAGCATCAGGATAACCATGTGGGGTTTTTTTTGCCTTTATTTGTTTGGTTTTGTTGAACACTCAGCAATATTCCAACGAAATGACGACGTTCTGTAAATAATTGCGTCTGGAACAGACAATCCAATGAAATACGATGACATGTGTCAACCAGGTCAGCGAGCCTGACCACCCGATCCCGTTAGTCGCCTCTTAGGACAAGCATGGGTTGCTGAAGATCAGTTATACTCCGGATCTTCGTAGGTCATTTATGTATGAATCCGGACTGATGGAAGACGTGAGCTTCACTGAGGAAGTAAAGAGAGCGGAATAACTGCAATGGATTTGGATTTAGATTTGGAGGTAGGGCGGAGTCGACGGGCAGGCTGGGAGAGGTGGTAAAGATCCCATGCACAGCTTCGTGGGCAAGTGACAAATGATGATCCCGGGTTATGTTTCACTTTATGTGATCATACTGAGAAACAGACCACGTGGAATTATACACATGCTATCAACCACTTAAAACGTATGAGTAAAACTCCAATTTTTGGAATACTTTTAGGAATCCCAACAGCTAATACAATCATTACTAAGCACTCAGAAACACTATTAACACAATGCTTTATTTAACACAATGCCTTTATTGTGTTTATCGCTTTTGTTTCAAAAAAACCAAATCCAAATCATCATAATGGGCTCATAATTTTAAGAAAGTGTATACCTTCTCTCCTCCTTCTATTGTGCAGTGCAGACCCTTCAACACTAGGTCCAGCCCGGGCCTGTAGCGGGTCATGTAGTTGATGAACTCCACCCTCCCATACTCAGGCCATTCCACTGGAGGCCGGTTGTTGTGTATTATCGGGTCCGCCTGGATTACACAACTGTTGTATATGATCATGATAATAACAATGAAGTCGTTTGTTTAATGATATGAAAGTCATACGTGTTTTATTTTGTGTGTGTGTTTGTGTGTGTGTGTGTGTGTGTGTGTTTGTGTTAGTGTTTGAATGAGTCTTTATGTTTATCTTAGTGTGTATGAGTTTGTTTATGCATGTGTGTGTTTGTATGTAAATGTGTGAGTGTGTGAATGAATCTCTTTGCGTATCTTAGTGTGTATGAGTGTGTGTATGTGGATGTAAATGTGTGAGTGTGTGTATGAATTTCTTTGTTTAGCCTAGTGTGTATGAGTGTGTGGATGTAAACGTGTGAGTGTGTGAATGAGTCTCTTTGCTTATCTTAGTGTATAAGTGTGTGTATGTAAATGTGTGAGTGTGTGAATGGATCTCTTTACTTATCTTAGTGTGTATGAGTGTGTGTATTTGGATGTAAATGTGTGAGTGTGTGAATGAATCTCTTTGCTTATCTTAGTGTGTATGAGTGTGTGTATGTGGATGTAAATGTGTGAGTGTGTGAATGAATCTCTTTGTTTAGCCTAGTGTGTATGAGTGTGTGGATGAGTCTCTTTGCTTATCTTAGTGTATGAGTGTGTGTATGTAAATGTGTGAGTGTGTGTATGACTCTCTTTGCTTATTTTAGTGTGTATGAGTGCGTGTATGTGGATGTGTGAGTGTGTGTATGAATCTTTGTTTAGCCTACTGTGTATGAGTGTGTATTTGTATGTAAATGTGTGAGTGTGTGAATGAGCCTTTTTGCTTATCTTAGTATATGAGTGTGTGTATGTATGTGTGTGGTGTTGTGTGTGAATGTATGAGTGTGTGAACGAATCTCTTCGTTTATCTTTGTGTGTATGTATGTGTGGGTGTGAGCGGTATGGATGTCTCTGTCTGTGTGTATCAGTGTGGGTGGGTGTGTCCGGTTGTTGGAGTGGAAGACGATATTGATGATACTGCACTTTGGTGTATGGGCAGATTTGTTTGGTTGCGGGAAGGGGAGACAGTATTGATAACCCTGACTCTGTCTCTATGTAAGCTTAGGGGGGTTGGCGGAATATTGATATCACTGTTTCTTTGTGAGGGTGGGACTACGTACATGCCCGCAAAAATGATCTTGGCGCCATGTTTATTGCAACTACACTATCTTAACATGATCTTACGACAATCAGAGCGCTGAGGTTGTTTTGCACAACGGCAGGTGTTCATAATATTACCTCTGTCTCAAGCTCGGCGTACTCCTTGACCCTCTCGACCGACACGATGTTGGTCTCAAGGTCACTCAACTGCCGCACCATCCAGGACATCGACCCCGCCACCTGTGACATTCAACATCAGCCATGTACATCGTTGAATAGACTGCATTAGATACTATACACTGCGTCCAGAATTAAAATACTTATGAATACACAATACGGGCCAAACGCTGTATTGCGCTCTATCTAGTGCTAAGTTGATTGTGACGAATAAAGACGAGGGAATGTGATCGTACATGATACGATAGCCGCCATTTGAGCTAGCTAAACTAGATATTACCAGAACTATATGTTTTGCGTCAAATGAGCACGCTACTCTGATACCTAACCATCATTAAACAGAGGCCCAGATAAGCTGCGTATTCGGGAAAAATACGCATAGAAAACTTTCAATTACGCATTGAAAAATAATTGTTGCGTACCAATTACGCATTAAACTGTTAGATACGCAAAGAGTTTAAAACAAATGCGTACGGAATATACTTATAAAAATCGCTTGCGTAATGAAATAGACATCGATTGCTATCAATTTGTACTGTTAGTATAGGTCAAGTGTTGTACTGTCAGTATAGGATGAGTGATTTTTTATCAAATCATTTCCCTTATATTTAAGTTGGTTTTGAGTAGGTATGACATAAGCCAGAACATACCTGCTTAGTAAACTTACTCAATGACACAATACTTAGGTAGGTAAAATGACTGAAATACGCACATATTTGAAAGCAGTGGGTAACGGAAAATGAAATACCCACTCAACATTCATAATACCCACTCCAAAAAAATACAGTGGGTACAGTACCCACATGAGCTAAATCTTATCTGGAGCACTGTAAATCATGATGAAAATGTATATCAAGTCGATGACATTTTTCTGAAGTTGGTCAAGTGAGTACAATATCTCAGGTATAAATACACAATACCAATTGCAAAGTGGTCAAATGTAACACATGTTCTATTTAGGATTACACATTCTCAGTACAGTACAGCTTCTAGTAGTTTTTGTTGAACTGAGTCCCATCCGGATTAGAGGCCTGATGTTGAGGGTGTGGGTTCGAATCCCGGATGGGACTCAAGCCAACAAAAGTACAAGAATCTGTACTTTACTAAGGAAGTGTAATCCCAAATATAACAAGTGATACAATCGTAATACTTACTTGAAGGGCGTACGACACAGAGAGCCCTATAATCCCACCATTGGTCCCGGGGGAGACAACCGCAAAGATGGCGGAAGCGAAGATTATGAAACTGCTGATCATATCAAGATAGTAGGCCAACCACCTGCAAATACATGAGTTCTGTTTAAAAGAGGATAGCCAGAAAATAAATTGTCACAAAAACAGTATTCTTACGCTAACAACACATTTGTACTATACTCTTATCAAAAGTGTGGTTCATATAAGTAAATGTCTTTGAAGACAAAAATCTTATATTCGTAGAAATTTAAATTTATGAGGATTTCAATTGAATGAGCATCAGTAGATTATGAAGGGTAATGGCCTGACACATACAATTAATGTCATTAATTTAATTTGGTCTAATAGCCTGGCAAGAAAGCATAACACCTACATCGATCTTGTTAACCCCAAAGATGTTTTGGTTTTGCTTTATCCATCGTGTTTTCCAGAAAGTTGCAATAAATGTCATAAAACGATAAATTATTATTTGCTCAACATATACTGTATTGTATCGATTACATCATTCCAATTTTCTTTGGTGTAAAATGTCAGTAATCGTCATGACTTATGATTTCGCCAAGCGTGTTGCGATCCTTGCTCGGGGGTTATTTGGTCGAGTTGTGAGCATTCGGGACCTAGGTGGGGATTATGACAAGTTTTCTTTTGGACTTGATGACGACATTTCGAGATTAGACGTAGCAGTCACAACTATGAGGTCTAATGCAATTCCCCTTTTCGCTTGTACCAAGTGTCTGCGTGCATAAACAATTTTCTTGGCATTGAAATAGTTAGTGACGGGTTAGAGTTTTCTCCAGCAGCCCGTGTCATCACTGTTTGTTAGTGTGTCAGTCCTGAGAGTTGAAGTGGGCAGTCGACCCTGGCAGGTACTTATCATGATTATAGAGATGGTATTTTCGGTTTTGATAACTGCTGAACATAAGAGATAATGTCATTGTAGATATAGTCAATCTTTCATTGCCTTATCACGAGGTAACTATGTTAAACCAGCCAGAACTTATTCTACTTCAGCACAGAAGAGTCACGCTACTTGGTTATCTTCAGGGTGCACTATTCCTGGTATGTGAACCGTTTGATGATGATACAGGTTGATGTCAATGACAATAAGACTGCTCTTCTGTGACTAGAGACCATTGTCGTGATCCTATTCGTTCACTTTATGCTTCACGAACACACCAAACAAAAGAAATATTATCATATGTTTTATGTCGTATGCCTGAAAGGTTAAGAACTAGACCCAAACTTTATTTGACATAAGGCTGCTGTGTTGGGGTTTTCAATAACATAGTTATTGTGCAGGTATTTTATATATCAGTCTCAGTCTCAGCAGAATAGACATACTATCTAAACTCATCGTGAACGGGGCGGTGGGGTAGCCTAGTGGATAAAGCGTTTGCTCGTTACGCCGAAGACCCGGGTCTGATTCCCCACATGGGCACAATGTGTGAAGCCTATTTCTGGTGTCCCCCGCCGTGATATTGCTGGAATATTGCTAAAAGTGACGTAAAAATAAACTCAGTCAGTCAGTCATCGTGAACGTCACAGGTTTTCCTTCCACATTAAGCTGACAAGTCGTAGTAAAAATAAAGTTGTATATATCATCTAACTGACTCCAATCCAACTCGGAAAGCCCTGCCGCCTGACTAAAGGAATGTTTGGACCTAGATATAGACAGTGACCTGTTTAGTCCTCAGTAGTTTGTAAGATAAATCTTGTTCATATACGTTTTTATTTACTTTTAAATCTGATCTTCCACACAAGTCGAAATTTAAATTTTACGACTGAGTCATCTGGTTCATCGATCACTTGATTGTCTGGCTTCAGTTCTGGTAGTTGTTTTGTAAATACATTTTGGGGAAATTGTGTGAATTACGGGTGCCACTTGGTGTCAAAACTGAGCTTCATAGGTCCATTAATATTATTTTCCTATTTTTCCTAAATGAAATCTCTCTCTGAGAAAAGTCGTGCGGGGTATTCTTTTGCACTTGCTGAATTGAGCCTCTGAATACACTAGTTGCTTAGAACGACTGACTACCTGTTCGCCATCAGACCGGCAAAGTAAAAGACTTGATTTTTGTCAACTCTCTTCTTGGACTCTTCTATGAATCTGTCCACGGCACCATACGCGCGGATGCTGCCTGCGCCGGTAATGGTCTCGCTGAAATGGATGTAGATTGGGGAGCGTGTCACGGACTCGATACGCTTCAGTTGCCTGGACGTCGGGATGTAGAAGTTCTGGGGAAAAATCGAGACAGTCATTCAAAATTCCATAAGTATCTATGTCGACACGTCGCTATTGTGCAATAAAGAAGTTCATCATCAATAAAGACTTCAAGTTGTCATTCTTAGGGCATCTGATGTTGGGGAGTTATACAAAACCATTTGATACACGAGCCCATATTTCCTATGTCTAAAATGTCTAAATTTGACTTCTTGAATAAAGTTCCTGTAAACAGGTGGTGGTGGTGGTGGAAATTGGGTTTAACGTCGTGCTTGAGAATATTTCGCTCATATGATGACGTGCATGCGTGTGTATGTGTATGTGCGGCTGCTTGTACTAGCCCAGACTGAAGCTGGTTTTATAGTGCTAGCCCACTGAGATACCATGCCGCAGTGAAGCATGAATACCCCACTCAGACACATTATACTGACTCCGAGCTGACCAGTCCTTGTTGTACCCATTAATGCCGAGCGCCAGGCAGGGACCAACAAGTATCATATTTGAACGTGTTTTGGTATGACGCGGTCGGGGATCGAACCCGCGACCTTCCGCTCCCCGGGCGGACGCTCTAACCACTACACCACGGAGGCGGTCCTGTAAACAGGCAAGTAGACTAACATTATATTATACTGTAGATTGTTTGGCTTTGTCTTGGTATGCTTGCTCAAGTATTGAAGACGTGCTTGGGATATTCGAATTACTTGGTGTATTAAAGGTTATCTGATCGTGTTGAAGCTGAGAACCCGCTCGTCTCTTCTTACCTGTATGCATATGTATAATATAACCAGCGGAACCAAGACGGAGATGAAGAAGGGGGTGTTGACGCTGATGATGATGAGAGTTGCCACGACGTTGGAGAGTGTGGACAACAGCATCCTGATGATTAAAGGTAGGGTGTTGTCGATTGTCTCAACGTCACGTGACAAGCGGTTGATGATACGCCCGTAAGGCGTGGTGTCGAAGAACGACATAGGCGACCTGAAGACGCGGCTGAGGATGGCATCATGGAGACGAGCGGCCGCCCTCACCATCCGCACCCGAAGCAGATAGCCATACCCCGTGACAACGACAACTGCAACGGAAATGAATTCGTTTATGCCTTTTCAAATCGATTGATACCAAGTACATATTCTTAGGCCATCCGTATTTTTTAAGTGTTTCTCATCTCGAGGGCGAAAAAATATATAGCAACTCAATTACAATCATATTCTATGAACCTTCAAAAATATTGGATAATTGTCGTTCAATTAATTTACGAGGAGCTTTAAATTTGCTTTTTAAACATATTTTACATAAATTATGATGAAGACATAATTATTAAGCTGATCTGGTTTTTACGAGTTTTTAAAAAAAATGGGCGGACGGGATGATGAAGATGATGATGACGATGATAAATTTTGTAATTATTCCCAAAAGGTCTGATTTTCAAGGGTATACACTCAAACACTGTGTGACCAATTACGGTTATCTCGAAGTGAAAGCTTGATGCAAGCATATTGCCTATTAGGTATACATTTGCGATTGAGTCGAACATCGGATAACTCGAAGTATTGTTTGCGCTTTCTTTTGCCCCTTTTCCTGATGTTAACTCACGCATGTATAAGGAGAAGGCGGAGTATAGTCCAAGATATCTGTGATTCACGTCGACAAACGTCTGGGAGGTAACGGCGGAAGCGTTGGTCAGTCTAGGATCCTCTGTCCAGTCAGTGAGGTAGAAGCCGGACCAAGAGTTGATAGCCTGGTATGCAAGGAACAGCAACACGGCCACTGTGACCGAAGGTAGCCCCGCCGCCCTTCCGTACATCAGGAACACGCCCCACTTCACCTGCAAATGTCCACGTACCACAATGTATAGTTTGATATGTTGTGTGACAAACATTGTTTCTGAAATTAAGTGGAGGGTCCTTGGGAGAGGATAGGGGGTAGCCAGGCAGAAATGTTCACCGAGTTGTTCAGCTGAATGCTCAGGAATAGCACAAATCTAGCAGTACATTGATATCATTCTGAAACTCAAGGTGCAGAGTTATGTCCCTTGTTTTCTGAACCTGATGATGCTTAATTTGGCTTGAACCCAATATTCGCACTCAGTGATAACTTGCTGAACCAAAACATTTAAAGGTTGACTTTAAGGTTACATATTGGGTAGTATACTCTGATATGTATTAAGTAATAGACATTAACAGTTTATTTTTGCTGAAATAGTGTACACGTCATACAAGTGAGTGAGTAAGTTTAGTTTTACGCCGCACTCAGCAATATTCCAGCTATATGGCGGCGGTCTGTAAATAATCGTCTGAACCTGACAATCCAGTGATCAACAGCATGAGCATCGATCTACGCAACTGGGAACCGATGACATGTGTCAACCAAGCTAGCGAGCCTGATCACCAGATCCCGTTAGTCGCCTCTTACGACAAGAATGGGTACCTGAAGGTTCATTCTAACCCGGACCTTCACGGGTACGTCATACAGGAATGAGAGGCATATGTCATAACATTGTGATCATTACAGTCTGTAGCAATGGATTCTGAAGCAGGACATCACTGGCCATTCTGAACGTTCATTTGGTATAGATGAATCTGGTGAATACGCAACCTAATACAGAAGATACATATCGACCATAACATATTTGAACTGAGGATAAATCACTCAAACCTGCTGATTCCTGATATTGAATCAGCTCGAATTCGAGATCGGTAAATGTACTGCCTGAATCAAGGATCTCATAATTCCTTCATCAAGGACGATGTCGTATGAGCTGATGACGCTGCCTACCCGTCCGTATAGAACGTTCTCCTCTTCCGTCAGAGCCCCACTCTTCACGACCCCTTGTTGTTTTCGACTCCTTACACTCCGGGATAACGACATCGACTTCGACTCCGCCATTTTCCTGAAAATTATAGACAGGCGTTGTCGCTGAATTTTGCAAAATGTTACACTGCCAAAATGCGTGTCTGATATCATGGTATGGAACGTGCTGTTTTTTGGGTTTTTTTATCAATACTCAGACAAATGGGAACTTGTAAACACAAAAAATGGAAAAGTTCATATGAGAGTGAGCATAGTTTTGCGTCGCCTTAAACAATATTCCAGCAATGTCACCAGAAATTGGCTTACACTGTTGCTACGAGTACAGGGCCTCAACCCTTCACAACTGTGTTTGGTCCTATGTCCCATTGAGCACCCGTGTGAGTGAGTGAGTATTATTTTATTCTACTTTTAGCAACATTCCAACAATATCACCGCTGGGGACACCAGAAATTGGCTTCACACATTACAGCCATGTAAAGAATCGAATCCGTACCTTCGGCGTGACAAGCGAACGCTTTAACCACTATGCTACCCCACCGCCCACAGATTAGTGAGCTCCGTTGAGATTTTAGTAAAATTCCCGAGCGACCTATGCTTCTCGTAAAAGGTGACGATTGTGAGTCAGTGAGTTAGGATTTACGTCACGTCGACAATATGTCAGCCATCATGTGACGGAATAGCGGCTATAATGATCATCGTTTACTATACCTTCTTCTCCTCATGTAACCGTCGTCAGAGGAGCTGTAGTCGGACATGAGGAGTTCCAGCCTGTCCCGCATTCTCTCCCTGATCTGCTGGACTGTAGATGACACGGATACAATAAACCATTGAACTTACATGTGTCACAGGTGGGTACCCGGTAGGGCAGGGCATGGTCACCACGCCGTTGTTTAACATGGATACCTTACCAGATCCTGACCCGTGCAGACCTTGTTTTATCCCTTAGTGCCTAGCACAGTATATATTTTAACGTTTAATGGTGTGACACTGCTGGGGATAGTTAGAACACAAGGGAGATAACTCTGTACTGGGCACTGCGGCGGCGCCTAATCATGCGTCAGTGTCACCGTTACACCACGTAACATCATAGGTGAGGTGATGTGAAATTGGGTTTAACGTCGTGCTTGAGAATATTTCGCTCATATGACGACTTGCATGCGTGTGTATGTGTATGTGCGGCTGCTTGTACTAGCCCAGACTTAGGCTGGTTTTATAGTGCTAGCCCACTGAGATACCATGCCGTAGTGAAACACGAATACCCCACTCAGACACATTATACTGACTCCGAGCCGACCAGTCCTTGTTGTACCCATTAATGCCGTCTTTTGGTATGACGCGGTCGGGGATCGAACCCGCGACCTTCCGCACTCCGGGCGGGCGCTCTAACCACTACACCACGGAGGCGGTCAGATAACTCTGTGCTGGGCACTGCGGTGGCGCCTAATCATGCGTTAGTGTCACCGTTACACCACGTAACAACATAGAATTACATTCATTGCAACTGCTTATATTGTAGTATTAATGGTTCCGTACTTTCCTCGTCCTCTTCCTCGTCCTCATCTATCCTATCAATGAGGTATTCCTGCAGAAATTGGGCAAAATGGCCGTTACGGGACATCAGCTCATCGTAACTTCCGGTCTCTGTGATGTCACCGTCATTCATGACAATGATGTGGTCCACCATGGGGAGCCAGTGGACGCCGTGTGTCACCAGGATCCGGGTCTGGTGACAAACAAAACCTCATCAATTGTTTGATCGAGGAAATGTTATTTTACGCAATAAAACACATTCATAACGAGTGACTCGTTAAACAAACGCGAATACATGTATCAATCGAATAAATGGTACCTACTTTGCCATGGAGTAAGCCATTAGCGCCGATGACGTTCTTGAAGATGTGTTTTCCCACGTGACTGTCCACGGCGCTCAGAGGGTCATCAAACAGATAGATATCCGAATTGCTGTAAACCGCACGTGCAAGACTCACGCGCTGCTTCTGACCTCCGCTCAAGTTGATGCCCTGAAAGTCAAGGTCATCATGATAAACAAGACCAAGGTGAAGGTGATGATATACGGCTTGTCGTGAAATCAACTAAAGGTTCATGCGTTGATCCACAAGGTACAGCAAAAACTTAAATCGACCTTTTCATTCTCGCCAACAATAGTTGCAAAAGTTGCTGATACGGACTTTAGCCAGAATTGATCACTCGATGTCTTTAACAGAATATATTACAACAAGTGTCTCCATATCACTGATGTTGGCATTTGACTGCGTTCTTTGACGACTTTATAATCATCACATATTATCAAACTTTTTACGTTAAACCTGACATTGGACAAAGTCGAAAGGCCCCGTATCTGTGACGTCGTAGGAAAAGAACGTTAAAACGTCACCGGTTTTTCTACAAGTCAGATGATTAAGAAAGAAAGAAATGTTTCTCACCTTCTCGCCAATCTCAGTGTGGTCGCCAGCAGGGAGAAGGGCAAGGTCTTCTTTTAGTGCGCATGCGTCAATCACGGTCTTATATTTCTTCTCCCGCCATCTTTTTCCAAACACGATGTTGTCCCGGAGACTACAGTTTTGTATCCAGGCTTGTTGTGGCACGTACCCTGTAGATGACTGGAGTGGAGTGAGTGAATGAGTGAGTTAAGTTTTACGCCGCTTTTAGCAATATTACAGCTATATCAAGTTGGGGAGCACATACATGGTCTTCACACACTGTACCCGAGTGGGGAATCGAACCCGTGTCTTAGGCGTGACGAGCGAATGCTTTAACCACCAGGCTATCCTGCTGCATCATTGGAGTGGAAGGGATTGAATATATACTAGTAGTCAGTTTTTCTTTCATAAATTTTAATGATGTTTGTGAATCTGTTTAAGGCCAAAGCAGACAATAGTCAGCTACATGGCATTGTATGGACACTCCTCTTGTCTCGAGCTACTTTTCACTCGATATGTATCCCCGAACTCGAGACGATTATATTGTCCAAAACACACAGAGGATATCTCATGATCACAGATGCATTGGTGTTGATATCTGACAGCACTGCCACAGACATACTCTTAATGATTTCCTTTTATCTGCGTATAGTTTGGAAAATTTGGTATAGTACACAAATGGATGGATGGACCAACGGACGGATGGATATATGGATGCATTATGCACGGGCGGATGGACGGAATGACAGGCAGACTAGTATTTAACTGTTATAGTGCACTGCTTCCAAACGTAAACTGACGTACAAAAAAAAGTACACACCCGGTGCTTTTGGATTACCTTCCAAAAAAGCGACGTAAATGTTTTGAAAAGAGTTTTTACACTGATACATAAGTCACAGACTTTCTTAAGATGTTGCCAAAACACCACAGATATCGTGCCAAATTGTGAAGTTGCCAGTCAAAATCACAACACTTTTCAAATAATCCCAAAACACCAGGTGTGTACTTTCTTTTGTACGTCGGTTTATTTTGAAATATTCGATAATCTTCACAACCGATACTGTTCAATCAGATAGATTAAACTGGCCCAGAAATATCGATCTGAGATCATTTCAGGTAACATGTGAACTATTTCCACTATTTTTATTGGTAGTACCTGAACTGTGACGGTCCCTGATATTTTCTCCATCTCGCCCAGGATCGCCGATATGACGGATGTCTTCCCAGAAGCCACTTGGCCCACGATAGCAACCAGCGCCCCCTCGCGGATATTCAGGTTAATACTGTAACGCATAAAGAAATACACTCATCTAAGGCGATTCCTGATCCTCAGAGAACCAGTTGCCTGCTGAACCTCTACCCGTGAAGATCCTGGTTAGATTTGATCTTCAGCAACCCATGCTTGTCGTAAGAGGCGACTAACGGGATCGGGTGGTCAGGCTCGCTGGCTTGGTTGACACATGTCATCGTATCCCAATTGCGTAGATCGATGCTCATTCTGTTGACCACTGGATTGTCTGACCCGGTCTCGATTGTTTACAGAACGCCGCCAATAGCTCGACTATTGCTGAATGCGGCGTTAAACAACCAACCAATCAACCAACCAACAAATACAGTATCTCTTCAACAGGTGCCTAAATATGATATGCAGAGTTGCGTCCCTTGAAGGCTCGCTGACTTGTTTGACACGTCATCGTATCCAACTTGCGAACATCGATGCTTATGTCTTATGTATCACTGGTTTGTCTGGTCCGTACTAGATTATTCACAGACCGCCATCATACAGGTGGAATACTGCTGTGCGTGGTATTTTAAAACAAGTTTACACGAAAACAAACAAGTGCGAGGCCCGTCGGAATTAAGTTTCTACGTGTGTGCAGCCTTCTCAATGGTTCATCAAAGTGGTAACGTCTGACACCTACATCATCCTGGGCTTTCCTCCTACATTAAGCTCATACAAGTGAGTGAGTTTAGTTTTACGCCGCTTTCAGCAATATTCCAGCAATATCCCGACTGGGGACACCAGAGACGGACTTGATACATTATACCAATGTGGGGAATCGAACCCGGGTACCCGACGAGCAAAAGCTATAACCACTAGGGTCCTGATGATGAATAATGAGAATATTTGTAACGCGCCTTTTCCAGGCTAGATATCCTGCTCAAAGCGCACAATCTGATCATTATTACCCCGGATACCCAAAGCTGCCTGTGAGGCGCTAGAAGGTTAATAGTCACATGACTTATCCCACAAGGTACCCATTTTCTGCTGGGTGAACAGAGGCAATTTTAAACAATACTCACTTCCCTAAGGTGAGAGCACATGTGCTTCGTTGTGGGCAGGACTGAAGTCGAAGAAACTCAGGAGTCAAGCTGCCAAACGCGGTCACCCATCTAAGGACTCTCCGCGCCCTGAGCTCTATGCACAACACCACACGCCACCGGAGGGATGGCAACTGAACAACCCTCCAATGCGGCGTTAAAATACATTCATTCGTGAAGGAAAAACGTGGATATGGTGGATTAACTAACTGATACCAAGAAGAGCCTTACTTTGTAAGCGTGGGCTCCATGGTCCTGTCCCAGGTGAATGTTCCGTTAATTATTTGTACTGCGTAATCTGAAAGTAAACGCATAATCTGTCAGCATCTCTTGTGACAGAAAATAAAGAACAGCTTACTCGAAATCTGTCAACAGTCAGTTTTAACTTGACACAACTGATGCAGTTCAATGGTTCCACTATGGTCCTTTCTGGCGTGAATTAGGACTGACTGACTGAGTTTGGTTTTACGCCGCTTTTAGCAATATTCCAGCAACATCACGGCGGGGGAACACCAGAAATGGGCTTCACACATTGTACCCATGTGGGAATTTGAACCCGGGTATTCGGTGTGACGAGCCAACGCTTTAACCAACAGGCTACCCCACCGCCCCCGCGAATTAAGAATGAGGATAGTTGTAGACGATCTCTCATTGATGCAAAAAATTGTTTGTTTTGAGTCATATTCGAAACTTTTAAATAATTTGTCAACTTAAACTACTTTTACTCAAAATGTGTTTTAAGATTAAAACCATGCGTGTATCATAATTACTTATACTTATTCTACTTATGATTATAACTACTTACATGTTACATAAATATACTCATGCCAATAATGGTTGTCACGCCTTAAATTTTTTAATTGGAGAGGGATGTGGGGTTGGGTTGGGGTGGGAGAGGGGGGTGACAACCATTATTGGCATGAGTATATTTATCCGACAAATGATATAATTATTAATACTGGCCGTGTTGTATTAATACTTGTCCTGTTCATAATATATATAATTACCTCCCTGATATCATGTATATTTACCTAAGAGACAGTATGTATATCTAACCCACGAATAATGTATTTGATAACCTTATTTACAGTGCAAAACTTTACCCTTTATGTATCCCTAGAGGTGTTCATTGATAAGTACCCGACTTATGACAGACGTCTTATCCAACAATGAGGGGCGGTGGGGTAGCCTAGTGGTTAAAGCGTTGGCTCGTCACGCCGAAGACCCGGGTTCGAATCCCCACATGGGTACAATGAGTGAAGCCCATTTCTGGTGTCCCCCGCCGTGATATTGCTGGAATATTGCTAAAAGCGGCGTAAAACCCAACTCACTCACTGACAATATTATTCCAGTTATCCTTGATGTTATCTTCATGCTGTTTCAGTTTCATATACTACCCATCAAAAGTTTAGACTCGCTTAAATCAATCACTATATGTTATGTATGTACATATGGTAACAACGATGGTTTCTCCACTTGGAGGAAACATCTGCAAACGTTATGCAGATTAATTGCACGAGGATCATGCATCAAATCGCTGAAAAGCATGTGGAAATATCAGTCAGTCAGTCAGTCAGTCAGTCAGTCAGGCCAACAATGAACTCTGTCATATAACGAATGATTGATACAGGTTCTAGTCACTTTCTGTATAATTTATTTTGTCAATAGGCGCGGCGGCGTGTATAACGAACTACAGTTTTAACCAACCAAATGGTGTGAATCCTTTGAGTTCGTTATAACCGGAGTTTGCTGTACGTATAATTACCCGATTGGTGGTCAGTCTGCACGTTCTCAGGACTAAGGTCTTCAGTACACAGAAACTCGTTGACTCGCCGGGTAGATACGAAAGCCTGAGAGCGAAAGAGATGATACATATCATTTTCCCGAAATCTTTCCGTTGTGTCTGTTGATATCAAATATATGAAAGGTCTGTATATAGTTACAACTTGTAATTCAATATTAAACATGTATCGATGAATGTTCATGCAGTTCTGATTTGTCTTCCAAAATCAATATTCCAACTTTTCAGTTTGTAATAAAGAAATACAGTTCGCCCTACTTCCAAGTATTGTGTAATTAAAGTGCAGTTTTGCCCTGAACTATTACAACTGAAGCGCCAATACGCATTTAAAACAAACAAACATCGTTAGTATTGCAGACATGGTGTTCTGTTCCCAATATTTCGGTGCTTTCACAGTCACTCATTAAATCAGCCATCTTCACACTAACCCACACACTGACACAAACACCAACCCACCTCTACACTTAGCCACCGACCACTCTCATACTCACCTAAAGTTAAACACACTGACTCTCTCACCTACTCAATCACTCACTCACTGACACAAACACCAACCCACCTCTACACTTAGCCACCGACCACTCTCATACTCACCTAAAGTTCACACTACACTCAATCAGCCACCGACCACTCTACACTTAGCCACCGACCACTCTCAAACTCACCTAAAGTTAAACACACTGACTCTCTCACCTACTCAATCACTCACTCACTGACACAAACACCAACCCACCTCTACACTTAGCCACCGACCACTCTCATACCTCACCTACTCACTCAACCATCCGCTCACTCACTCACTCACTCACTCTTACATGCAACTGCTATGTCAGATATTCCAATCGTCAGGTTGGTGCCAGTGGACCATCAACCCAACTATTTCGATCGCAGACCAAGGATCCTAACAGCTAAACAACATGGAAAAATAACTCTCAACCAGCGGATCCCGACACCGACAAGGGGCGCAACTCGATATACCGTGTTTACCTGTATTGCGGTGGTGATGATCCCGGGGAGGAGGTTCATGGGGACACGGAGGATGTTGAAGAGGGAGAGGGTGACGAAGGCTTTGTTGGCGTCTAACTGGTTGGTGGGGTCGCTGAAGATGTACGTTGCAAACGTTGCCAGGACAACCTGTCGTCGCATAAACACAAGCTTAGAAATGTATATCATGGGGAACTGAAACTGACAGTCCGGAAAACTATCTTAACTGTGCTATGCTCGTTTTGCGAAACATGCAAGAATTCTGAGTAATGATTTAATTTATATAATTTGATCAAGTTCACTTACCCTAAGCTGCACCATACCTGTTAATACAGTGAGGGTCAGGACCGGGGCGCTAGAAACTCACCGGAGGCTATAATTTCTCTTGTTTTGTCCGTGTGAAATTACATTTCTCTTAATCACCAAATCACAAAAGAAAGTTACTACGTTAGTAAATTTTGATTTAGCATGTTTTGTGCAATTACGTATGCTATGCTATTGGCATATATATTCCAGAAGTCAAGAGAAGATGTTTGACCTGCACCCGGTGAAGATAATGTTTGACCTGCACCAGATGCATCCTCGATAATCTCCAGGGTATAGTGGAGATTTATACGGTTCGGCCCGATGATTTTATTACCTCCCTTGGCTGACTTTTTATTCTATCAGGTGTCTACGCTGGGAAGTTGAGCGTACCAAGCAAAAGTGACAAGTCACTTTCGCTTCTTGAATTATCTAACCGATTAAACTTGGCAACACAATTGATGCAGAGGTACTCTGAAAGAGGTAGAAGGAGTTCTTGCATATATATTTTTAAAGTTTCAGACCTGTCAATATGTCTGTATGATTTCCCCCAAAATCTTAGTCGCGCTGCTCGGTCGTAACGGCGGCTTAGCTGATTGGCTACTATGAGAATGCGGAGCCAGCAAAGGGAGGTAATAAAATTATCCGGCCGAGCTATAGATGCATCCAGGATGTAGTGGAGAGTTATCGTAGCGTATACCCTGGAGATAATCGAGGATGCACCAGATGAGGATGATACTAGAATTTGACCTGCGCCAGATGAGGATAATGTTTGACCAGGTAAGGAAGAAGTTTGACCTGCACCAAATAAAGATAATGTTTGACCTGCACAGGTAATGATTATGTTTGAATTACACCAGATGATGATAATGTTTGACCTACACCAGATGATGACAATGTTTGACCTGCACTGGATGATGATAATGTTTGACCTGCACCATGTTAGAATGATTTTGTACCTGCACATGGTGATGATAATGTTTGACCTGCACAGGTAATGATTATATTTCACCTGAACCAGATGAGGATAGTGTTTGACCTGTGTCAGATTGGGATAATGTTTGACTTACTAGGAATGGCGCCAATGTCCAGCTGATGCCCAGACCCGCGGACAGGTAGGAGATCTTCAGCAGCACGTCCACCTCCTTCCTCCGCACAGACTCCACCTTCCGCTTGAAAGACGTCTCCCACGCGTACAGCTTCAGCACCTGAGCAATGAGACATCGGCATACACATGGAGAGACGTTTGAGAAGAGAATACGATAATAGTGTTGACTATGACGATGTCCGTAATGATGTTGAAATGATTGCAGAGAACAGTGATGATGATTATGTCTGTGTTGTTGTTAACGATGGTGATGATGATGATGACGATGACGATGACGACGACGACGACAACGACAACGACGACGACGACGACGATGATGATGATGTTGATGATGAACATTTTGCTTTTTTTTGATCGCTTTGATTGACGTTGATAGACCCTCAAGAACTTTACAAGCAATAATATCACAATGCGTTTTGTTTGGCTTTTTATATTTTTAAATGGGAGTCGATTGGGGCTAAGGATAATATATTGCCTTGACAACGGCTGTAAAACTAGATTTAGTTTCCATTGACGCAATCACCCTAAATAAAAAATATAAAAATGTTACAATACTGTATTTAATGCCGAAAAAGTCTTTTGGGGCAGATTATATTTTTTTCATATTCCCTAAAATCCCAGTAGTTTATACGGGTATGCTAGTTTGTTGAGATTGGGGCAGTGATTTAGCAGTGTGTCGGTGATTAGCAATGTTAAAGAAAAATGCAATTTTCAAGTGAAGATTTTATTTGCCTGACAGTTTAGCGCATATGCAGAGAATCCAGAGAATCAGAAAATGACAGAGTTCTTTTGTGAGCTATTCAGGCCACTAGTGTTCCTCAAGTCCAGGATGAAGTATGACCCGATAACTACTGTGGAATTAAGAGTAACGGAGTGACGAGGCACATACCTTGATCCCATTGAGGACTTCGTTCAGTAGTTTGATGCGCTCGCCCTTCAGCTGGAGATTCAGGGTTTGGAGTCTCTTCTGACGTCCACTGAGGGCAGCGTTGAGAGGCAGTAGGAAAAGCAGAAGGCCCAGACCGGAGAACACTGACGCACCTATTGTCCGGTAGATCATGGCGATGGACACGACGATCTGGATAGGCACGGACGAGAGGAGGGCGAGGTTCGTCATGACGTCACAAATACGTTGAATGTCCACTGACATCAGGTTGACGATTTCACCGGTCGTTGTGGTTTTCTTTGCCTCGTTGTTCAGTGTTAACGCCTACAAAGATCATCGTGATGAGGTGAGGTGAAATTGGGTTTAACGTCGTGCTTGAGAATATTTCGATCATATGACGTCGTGCACGCGTGTGTATGTGTATGTGCGGCTGCTTGTACTTGCCCAGACTTAAGCTGGTTTTATAGTGCTAGCCCACTAAGATACCATGCCGCAGTGAAGCAGGAATACCCCACTCAGACACATTATACTGACTCCGAGCCGACCAGTCCTTGTTGTACCAATTAATGCCGAGCGCCAGGCAGGGACCAACAAGTACCATATTTTAACGTCTTTTGGTATGACGCGGTCGGGGATCGTACCCGCGACCTTCCGCTCTCCGGGTGGATGCTGTAACCACTACATCACGGAGGCGGTCATCGTGATGAGGTTATCATCGACGTTAAGTGGTATCGCAAAGATTTTTATCTGAGAATTAATGTGAATTGCAGTTAGTTCTCCCAGCAAATATCGAAAGGCCATAAGTAGTACACCAATGGTGATTAGCACAAGAACCCTCCTGTGCCGTCGGAGAACACTGAATAGCGATGGTAAGACAGGTTCGCGAGTGCGTGTGTGCGCGTGTACGTAGGGCTCAGTTCGTGGGTGGAGCTGGTATTGAGAGCTATGTCCCTAATCTGTATCAAGGGTAGTGTTTCTTTTCACCGACCTATTTCTTTTACTTATGACGCATTTCAATCCAGCGTATCAATTGCGGGTTAAGAACCATTTCGTTGAAGAAACAACTCAAATTTGGCTCGATCTTCACCGTTTTTCAAAAATGAAATACTATACGAACGTATATGGAAGCTAAAATAATTCCAAAAGATAAAACGCAAATTCTATATTTTTATTCTTTTACATGCAGGTAAAAAATACAAGCGACATTTTGATTTACAGGTATTTTATTCTATACATTTGTATGGGCCGCGTATAATCACTATCAGGTCACCCTACCCAACTGTCTATGTGGGAATTTGGGAGCATTACAAAGTACACGTGGACGAAATTTGTCATTACTACTCGCGTACAGATATTTTTATTAAATGATATGCCATATATTCATGACATCCACATCAAGGCTAAACATAATATAACATCAGCTTTCAATTCTAATTGTTTGTTTGTTTGCTTGAGACTAATGCTGCTCTTTTTTTCAAAGTTTTATCAAATGCAGTTTCGCGTGAAGGAGTGAGGGGCAACATCAGTATTCCAGAATTTTTCCAGAAATCTCATATCCTCTTCCACAACGAATTGGTATGCAACTTATCCTCTGTAGGAACACTTTAACCCAGCTTCCCCGTATCAATAAATAATAAAAACAAACAAAAGTAAACACGTACGATTATGTCGATGCAAAAGACCTGAAGCACGTGTCTAGTGTGCCTTTTTTAAATAAAAAACACCATATAGATTCAAAAATTTCATATCAGTTCACACAATACTAGACAAAACTAACTGACCTTCTTATACACGGCTGAGATACACGTGGTCTTAATGTGCATTCCCAGAACGGTTGCTATGGCAAAGCCCGCCTGTCCGATGACACTTGTGAGCAGCTGTAGAGCCAACAGCGTGGAGGCCAGGACATACCCCCACCAGGCCTCCCGGTCAGACTTGTCCGAGACAAAGCTAATGAGGGCACTGCGGAAAGAAGAGATATAGAAAATATCTTCGAATAAACATTTGAGAGCTAACCACATGAAAAACACCTTAAGTTCAGCGTTTCAGAGCTCTTGATGTCCACAACACATGTAAAAGGCTCCAGTTCGATGCACCCAACGGGTACAGGATACAGTATGTGAAAATAATTTCATCATCATCATCATCATCGTGGTCGTCGTCGTCATTATCATCGTCGTCGTCGTCGCCATCATCATTATCGACGTCGTCATCGTCATCATCATCATCATCGTCGTCGTCGTCGTCACCAAAAACATATCATTATTACCAATACAATTATCATCATCACCAATGTCACATTCATCATCACCATTGTCTTAATATCTACTCATAATAAACTTCCCGAGGATACCCTGCTCTAATTTCCCCTTGTACGAAATAAATTCTCGTTCAGTTGCAAGGATATTTGAAGACGAATACAATTTTTTTATTTCTTTCAGACAAATAGTAAACTCTCCGTGTTTTTATATCGAAACTCCCAGCATCCACATAGCTTTCAATCACTGGGATACAGAGTCCGGGATATTTTCCGTAGCATAAAACGACATTTACTCACAGCCACACTCGCCATGGTGACACGTGGAGGGTAAAACACTTGGTGGGTAAAACACTTGGTGGAGAAAACACTTGGTGCGTAAAACATGTGGTGGGAAAAACACTTGGTGGAGAAAACACGTGGTGATGAAAACACGTGATGATGAAACATTTGGTGGGGAAAACATGGTGGGGAAACAAGTGGTGGGGTAAACAAGTGGTGGGGTAAAGACGTGGTGGGGAAAACATGTGGTGGGGTAAACAAGTGGTGGGGTAAAGACGTGGTGGGGAAAACATGTGGTGGGGAAACAAGTGGAGGGGTAAAGAGGTGGTGGGTAAACACGAGGTGGGGAAAACATGTGGAGGGGAAAACACGTGGTGGGGAAAACACGTGGTGGGGAAAACATGGTCGGGAAAACATTTGGTGGGGAAAACATGGTGCGGAAAACATGGTGGGGAAAACACATGGTGGGGAAAACACATGGTTGGGAAACAAGTGGTGGGGTAAACAAGCGGTGGGGTAAAGACGTGGTGGGGAAAACACACGGTGGGGAAAACATGTGGTGGGGTAAAGACGTGGTGGGTAAACACGAGGTGGGCAAAACATGTGTCGGGAAAACACGTGGTGGGCAAAACATGGTCGGGAAAACATATGGTGGGGTGAAAACATGTGGTGTGGAAAACATGGTGGGGAAAACATGTGGTGGGGAAAACATGTGGTGGGGAAAACAAGTGGTGGGGAAAACATGTGGTGGAGAAACAAGTGGTGAGGTGAACACATGGTGTGGTGAACACGTGGTGGGTAAACACGTGGTCGGGAAAACATGTGGTGGGGAAAACATGGTGGGGAAACATGGTGGGAGAAACATGTGGTGGGGAAACAAGTAGTGGGGAAACACGTGGTGATAAAAACACATGGTGATGAAACATGTGGTGGGGGAAACATGGTGGGGAAAACACATGGTGGGGACAACATTGTTGGGAAACAAGTGGTGGGAAAACATATAATAGGGAATCACATGGTGGGTAAAACACATGGTGGGTAAAACACGTGTTGGGGAAAATACGTGGTGGCCCTTGTGTGTTTCTCACCTCAGTATCAATGGACCTGCAAGTTTGAGTGTATCGCTGGTTAATGTTAAAGTCGACATCAGCATTATTCGTGTTCCGTACAGCTTCCACAGGACTCGGAATAGCGACGGGCGTCCACGTGAAGTGTCGCCATCTTGAATTTTCTCCAGTGAGTCCGTGTAACTTGACGTAGCGCTGGTACTGATGTTGATGTGATGCTTCTTCAACAATGGCGAGTTTTCCCGGTAGTCATTATGATAGGAATAATTAGATGTGTTTACCCTTTGTTTTTGTTTTTTCATCTGTGGTCTGAAATAACATTTGTTTATATTGAAATTAGAAAGTTGAGCGTTTAAAATTTGTTAAAAATTGTGTCTTTGAAAATAATATATAAACGTTTGATCTTTGAAAAAAATATTTAAATGTTTGATTTTTGAGCAGTTTTGAATGTTTGATCTTTGAGCAGTTTTGAATGTTTGATCTTTGAGCAGATTTTGAATGTTTGATAAATTAGAAAAGATGTTTGAATGGTGAGTCTTCGAGGAAACTCTTGGTATTTTGATATCCTTTTGAATGGTGGAATTTGGAATGCGTTTTGGACGTTTATCTTTTCCAAGTTTCGTAGCATAAGAATATGTCAGAAGAGTGTTCAAAATACATCATCATAAACTGATGCGGAAGAATTATAGTCCTGGGGTACGATACACAGAACGTTCGTAGCACAACGACATTCGTAAGCCTATTGTAAACTATAGAGTTACGACATATCGTAACGTTACGAACCTTTTGTGGATCGGGTAGGTACGATACACAGAACGTTCGTAGCACAACGTCATTCGTAAACCTATGGTAAACTATATAGATACAATAGCTCGTAACGCTACGTACGTGTATGCTTTGTGGATCTGGAATCATTATTTGTACCGTATTCGACGAAATAAAAGCTGCCTAAAACAGTTGGCCTATTTCTTGTAGCTTGTCATATGTAGATGTTCAGAGATGCTTCCCTTTGGTGAAACCCCTGATCGTTGTTTCAAACACGCAATCATGATAATTCTACCTGTGTTCATGGATTTCAATAATGTTATACAGGTCAGTGACTTTGAGCATTCCTGGCAAATCAGTCTAACATGCTGTGATATCACTGGTATATTGTTGAAAGCAGTGTTAATCTAAACTGATTCACCAACTTACTTAGGGGCAGAGTGGTAGCTCAGTGGTTAAAGCGTTCACTCGTCATGCCAAAGGCTCTACAACACCATTTCTGGTGCCCCCCGCCGTGATATTGCTGGATTATTGCTAGAAGCGGCCCAAAACCATATTCACACACTCACAAACTTACTTGACTGTGTTGACCCGAGTCACCTCGTCCCGCCACTGGGATTCAAAGGGAGGTACCAGAGTTCGGCAAGCATCTCTTGGGTTCAGATTCCATAGATCCACTTCTTGTATTCCTTTTCTGTAGCCGAGGATCACAAGCCTAGCAGGAAATGACAATAACGCTTTAATATATCGATAAAGAAAATGCACATAGAGCACATTTGCTACAGGTTTTGCAAAGTTTAAACGTTGCCACGAAGTTGAAAATATGTTTACTGTACATGGTGGAAGCTCTGTTATAACGTATTGTGGAATTCGTGTCAGTTTCACAATAAGAGACATATACGTCAGTGTTGAGAAATGGAGAGCGAAACATTATAAGTTGTTCACTGGTCTCGAGGGGACATGGGCTGATGTACCCTCGATGTTTGTTTATGTTCCCTGAGCCCGAACATAAAGAAACATCGAGGGTACATCAACCCATGGGCCCCGAGGGACCAGTGAACAACTTATTTATCTTACCGAACACCTCAATGGTAATTGTGAACTGTTTGAAGCACGGGTATCGGATCATAGTATGGAGTACCAGACGACAAGAAAAACAAATTTAGAGTTAACTCCCTTCCATTCATTTGCATTTGCAAAACATGGGTAATTTCCCTACATCATACGTGATTCAATGCTATTCGAGACAAAGACTTACTACTTCGAAGTACCAAATGAGTTCGGCATTCCCACCGGGGTACATAGAAAATGTTACTCGCTTGTAAGCGGGGTACATTGAAAACAATAGAAGAGCGCTCTGCCAATCAGAAAACGACATTTATGTGTGAGGCAAGATCGTCTTTCTTTTCAACTGCTCATATCAGTCTAGCATTATACTGCTTATCTTTTGAAGCGATACTTTGAGTAAGATGGCGGACTCTGAATAAGATGAAACATCAAGTGTATTCAACTGCATAAATAAAATACACGTACAAAGTTCGTATACAGTTCAAATACTTGTTGTCTGTTAGTTTGGCTTTTCTCGGTACAAGGCAGTACAACATACCTCATGAAGCCAACCAGAACTTCTCGATAAAACCGTCCTGATAAACCGATTTCAAGCATACCTCGACATAGTTGACTTTACTATAACGACGTTCCAACGAGATTTATAGGCTAACGGTGCTACACTCACGGTGTTTTCAGATAACGACACTAATCAGTTTCAAAACTAACAACGTCCGTACTAACGAAGTTTCCAGACTACCGGATCTGTACGAAAGAAGCTTTCTGGAATGACGAGGCCCGTACTAAAGAGGTTTCAAAACAAAAACTGTCCGTACTAACGAGGTTTCCAGACGAACGGGTCCGCACAAAATAGGACTGGGCTGACGGGGTCCGCACGTATCGCACAGCCTTGCGTAAATACTTTTATAGATGTGTAACAATATATGAATGTGAATTTACGGAAACGGGTTAAGGGCTATATTTTCGTACGGACAGAGACAAACGGCGGAAATATGTGTGGAAAGATACAAAGGGCAACGGCAACATCGTACCGAAAGCTTTGACGCACGCCAATCGGTAGGGAAGGAGGCTTGCTGACAAATGAAGTGGTCAGTTTAGAAAGATTGGCTGATTCGATTGTTGTACGCCGCACTCAGGAATATTCCAGCTATATGGCGGCGGTCGGTAAATATTCGAGTCTGGGCCAGACAATCCAGTGATCAGCATCATGAGCATCGATCTACGCAATTGGGCTACGATGACATGTGTCAACCAAGTCAGCGAGTCTGACCACCCGATCCCGTTAGTCGCCTCTTACGACAAGCATGGGGCACTGAAGACTGATTCTACCCCAGATCTTCACGGGTTCACTTTAGAAAGAGTGAGCGGGTGAGTTTAATTTTACGCCGCACTCAGCAATATTCCAGCTATATGGCGGTCGTCTGTAAATAATCGAGTCTGGACCAGGCAATCCAGTGATCGTCAGCATGAGCATCGATCTGCGCAATTGAGAACCGATGACATGTGGCAACCAAGTCAGCGAGCCTGACATCCTGATTCCGTTAGTCGCCCCTTACTACAAGCATAGTCGCCTTCTGTGGCAAGCATGGGTTGCTGAAGACCTATTCTACCCCGGATCTCAGACAGTGTATAGATTGGGCGCTACAGGAGCTACCTACTTCGTCATCCACCAGAAGATGCGTCTTGACGGGAACGACGCTGTCACCTCAGGGCAAGGATTCTGGAAATATTCACATCTACGTCCACAGACACAATAGTGAAGGAATGATATATTTTGTGATACAAGCAGGAGCAGAAGCTAAAACACAATTCAAGAGAGTGGAAGATGTGACTCCCTGCACAGTTTGGTTGACACTGCTGCGTTATTTCAAACTATGTGAATGTGTGTGTTCGTGTGTAAATGTGTTTGTGAAACAGCCAGAGACAGAGAGAGTGAGAGACAGAATTAGAGCGAGAGCGAGAGTTAGAGCGAGGGAGGGAGGGAGCAAGAGAGAGAGAGAGAGAGAGAGAGAGAGAGAGAGAGAGAGAGAGAGAGGGAGAGAGAGAGATAGACAGAGACTCAAAGTCGTCTATTTCATCTTGATTATTTCAAATGCATAACAACTCGGTTAGAGTTGGATTTTTAAGTGAAAATTCTAATTGAATCAAAAGAATATCAACACCCTAATAAAATATTAGACCCTAATCTGCATAAAGTACCTTCAAACATGTCCTTTCTTTTCAAGTAGTGGTGTGTAAACAATTAGAAGTTTAATCAATCTACTTTATTGTCCATGTATTGTAATCGTTATTATATTCAACGATCAACAATCTTATATGATCAGAGTTACTTTTGCCCGGAACATAGAAAATACCCTCGACTCTCGAGGATGATCACAAACCTCTCCCAGCGGATAGTAACCTCTTCTTGATCCCGGCAGATCCGAAAACCAATGCATGAGAAACAAGATGCTTATCAGCGAAAATTTCAAACAGAAGAAACAGAATTTCAGGATGTCGTCTTCGTAAGTCTGAAAGAAATCATTTGCCATTGTAACACATGATTGGTGAAATTTCCCACATCTTTTCACGTGCAACTATATTATCCAATCGGAGACTCGCTCTACTATTCGGTGCGTGTCTGTAGCCTGAGATTTGTTTACTTCCGGGCATATGTCCTGACTTCGTACGAGATAGGACGGCAAAATTATTGAAAGCTTCAAATGGGAGTAAAATCACCAAGTTAATGATATGCAAGGTACTTTACAGAGGTCAACTGAGTATAAATTGTGCAGTTTATTCAACGGTCAAAGCGATGGAAGCGTTTGTCAGACCGAAACCAAGCCGAGCCGAGCCGGGCCCCCATTTTGTTTCGATTTACTGACACACCTTTCTTATATCTTATATATATAGGTCATAGTTATAAATATATCAGAGTCGGGTGCCTATGAGGATAACGAAGTGACATGTTAAAGGCTGAGTGAAACGACGGGTAAAAGGAATGTGTAAATGAAAACAAGTGCAGAGTCTAACTAAACGGATAGAGTGAAAGGCAGGCTTCAAAACAGAGGGAAAGGGTTGGACAATTGTGATGAAAGTCACTTGTTGTTGCAGCCTCACCTCCAGCATGACGTACGTGTAGAGGGGGACAACAGATGCGATCAGCATGAACGTCCAGAATACAAACAGGACACCCGATGTGAACACCCCTCTAACTCGGTCTAACTGGATCAGAGCAATCGCCAGCACCTGACAATAGAACAAGAAACGTACTGAAGTCATTATTTGATTGGCAAGTTGGTGAGTCAGTGTTGAAGTCATTGTGTGATCGGTAAGTTGGTGTGTCAGTACTGAAGTCATTGTTTGATTGTCAAGTTGGTGTGTCAGTATTGGAGCCTTTGTTTGATCGGCAAGTTGGTGTGTCAGTATTGAAGTCATTGTTTGACTGGCAAATTGATGTGTCAGTAATGAAGTCATTGTTTGATTGGCAAATTGGTGTGTCAGTAATGAAGTTACTGTTTGATTGGCAAGTTGGTGTGTCAGTGTTGAAATCATTGTTTGATTGTCAAGTTGGTGTGTCAGTAATGAAGTCATTGTTTGATTGTCAAGCTGGTGTGTCAGTATTGAAATCATTGTTTGATCGTCCAGTTGGTGTGACAGTAATGAAGTCATTGTTTGATTGTCAAGTTGTTGTGTCAAGTTGGAGCCTTTGTGTCAGTTGAAGTCATTGTTTGATCGGCAAGTTGGTGTGTCAGTATTGAAGTCATTGTTTGATCGGCAAGTTGGTGTGTCAGTATTGAAGTCATTGTTTGATCGTCCAGTTGGTGTGTCAGTAATGAAGTCATTGTTTGATCGGCAAGTTGGTGTGTCAGTATTAAAGTCATTGTTTAATCAGCAAGTTGGTGTATCAGTATTGAAATCATTGTTTGATCGTCCAGTTGGTGTGTCAGTAATGCAGTCTCTGTTTGATTGGCAAGTTGGTGAGTCAGTGTTGAAGTCATTGTTTGATTGGCAAGTTGGTGAGTCAGTATTGGCGCCTTTGTTTGATTGGCAAGTTGGTGTGTCAGTATTGAAGTCATTGTTTGATCAGCAAGTTGATGTATCAGTATTGAAATCATTGTTTGATCGTCCAGTTGGTGTGTCAGTAATGAAGTCATTGTTTGATTGTCAAGTTGGTGTCTCAGTAATGAAATCGATATTGAATCAGTATTGAAACACCAGTTTTGTGGATAACAAATTCTTGTTTATTGCACAGAGCGACGTTTCCGTGTAGGTTCTTACACCGTTGTCAAACACTTTATTTTACACCGATAGTTAGCTACTTTTTTAAGTTTAATAACGTTGTAAGAAATATTACGGTAGGCTAGGGACACCGGAAATGGCCTTCACATATTGTATGCATGTGGGGATTGAACCTAGGTCTTCGGTGTGACGAACGAACGCTTATAACCCACTGCCCAAAAACGCCCACAACACTAAATTTCTATTAGAATAATGCTTGAAGGTTCACTTACAAACGTGACTACTTCCACCAGGTGGCCTGTAAACCTGGCCCATGGAGTTATCTCCCCATTGGCTTCAAGTCCCGCCAGGTGGGACATATCCAGAATACCAAGCATGATTAAAGACATACAGCATAACTGAAATGAAAAAATGAATACACACATGCGTCAATGAAACAGATTGATAGAATATAATCAATGACATACATTTGTCTTAAATATGCTTTCTCTTGTAATTGTTAGTGCCTATCCACACCGATAAGCGAGTACACCGAACGTTAATCTAAATATAAAAGAGCGAGTGTCACATATCTAGAACACCTTCCCTTAATCTTCGTACCATTGGCAGAATAAGAAAGTGTCTCTCTAGAGATTCGGCATTGGTGACATCTCGTTACATCTCAGTTGGGTTAACCTGACGGGCTCCTCAACAAACATCAGGTTCAACGTTCGCAGACAGATACAGAATACTTGTCAGACCAATCACCACATATCTCCAGTTCCATTTCGTGCCTGTATTACCATGGACCAACCACCTGCTTCTCTCTTGCCTATCGATGCTATAATGATGAAGCTCAAGCTTATCTCTCAGATTTATTTCTCCCTTACAACCAACGCGTTCGCAGAGATCCCAAGACAAGATATGATCTCCTCAACTACACAAGTGCATGAGGTAAAGAAAGAATCCGAGAGGACCAAGCTTTGAGTTCGAGATAACCTTCAGTTTGACACATCAAAGTTCGCCAAAACGGTGTATAATTTAAGAAATACCGTTTGCTCTTCCCTCATCGCTGCCAGCGATTGCTTCAGCTCGCTTGAGTCCGAGTGCTTTAAATAACTATAACAGTTCACGACAAAACTGTACTATATTACATCATACATGGGTGTAGAGCGAACTCCCTGTTCTAAGATGCTAATCTAATCCTTAACATATTTTAATTGAAGGCGCAAAATAAAAAAAACAACGCATCGGTGACCTAAATTAGCAGTTCTTCATCAGGGCTAGCTGACGTACTGTTCTATTGACGTGTCTGCCCCATACGTTAACATACATGTACATGCTACCAATATAACATATGATAAACAGTTTCAATACGGTTTACGTTCAGGTTTAACATTTTCTCTT